CTACCAAAACTTAAACAGAAAGAAATAGAAAATTTGAACAGACCAATTACCAGTAAGGAAATTGAATCAGTAATCAAAAAATTCCCAAGAAACGAAAGTCTAGGACCAGATGGCTTCACAGGCAAATTCTACCAAACATTTGAAGAGCTAATAACCTATTCTTCTCAAACTATTCTAAAAAACAGAAATGGAAGGAAAACTTCTAAATTCATTATATGAGGCCAACAGCATTACCGTGATACCAAAACCAGATAAAAACACCACACAAAAAAAGAGAACTACTGGCCAATATCTCTGATGAACATAGATACAAAAATCCTCTAAAGAATACTAGCAAACAAAATCCAACAATACATTAAAAATATCATTCACCACAATCAAGTGGGATTTATTCTTGGGCTGCAAGGATGGTTCAATATTTGCAAATTAATCAACATGATACACGTTATCAGTAAGAGAAAGGATAAGAACCATATGATCATTTCAGTGGATGCAGAAAAAGCATTGGACAAAGTACAACATTCATTCATGATAAAAACTCAAAAAGTAGGTTTAGAGGGAACATACAAAAGGCCATATATGACAAAACCACAGCTAACATCATCCTCAATGGGGAAAAACTGAGGGCCTTTCTCCCAAAGGCAGAAAAAAGACAAGGATGCCCACTCTCACCAATTCTATTCAACATATTACTCAAAGTCTTAGCCACAGCAATCAGACAACAAAAATAAATAAAAGGCATCCAGATCAGCAAGAAGTAAAACTCACTATTTGCATACGACTATATATGGATACTATATATGGAAAACCCAAAAGACTCCTAGAACTGACACAACAATTCAGTAAAGTTGCAGGATACAAAATCAATCTACAGAAATCTGTTGCATTTCTATATACCAATAATGAAGCAGCAGAAAAAGAGATTAAGAAAACAATCCCATTTACAACTGCACCAAAAATAGTAAGATACCTAGGAATAAACCTAACAAAACAGCTGAAAGACCTGTACTCTGAAAACTATAAAACACTGATGAAAGAAACTGAAGATGACACAAAGAAATGGAAAGACATTCCACACTCATAGATTGGAAGAATAAATATTGTTAAAATGTCTCTACTACCCAAAGCAATCTACCCATTTAATGTAATCCCTATCAGAATACCACAAGCATTTTTCACAGAATTAGAATAAACAATCCTAAAATTTGTATGGAACCACAAAAGGCCTGAAGAGCCATAGCAACCTTGAAAAAGAAAAGCAAATCTAGGGGCATCACAATTCCAGATTTCAAATTATTTTACAAAGCTGTAGTAATCAAAATAGTATTACTGGAAAAAAAAGACACATAGCTCAATGGAAAAGAACAGAAAACCCAGAAATAAACCCACACCTATATGGTCAATTAATCTTTGGCAAAGCAGAAAAGAATATCCAATGGGAAAGACAGTCTCTTCAACAAATATTGCTGAGAAAACTGGACAGAACATGCGAAAGAAACAGAACCACTTTTCTACATCATACAGAAAAATAAATTCAAAATGGATGAAAGACCTAAATGTTAGACCTGAAACCATAAAAATCCTAGAAGATAACACAGGCATTAACTTCTCTGACATCAGCCATAGCAACTTTTTTCTAGGTATGTCTCCTGAGGCAAGGGAAACAAAAACAAACTATTGGGACAGCATCAATATAAAAAGCTTCTGCACATTGAAGAAAACAATCAACAAAATCAAAAGGTAAACCTACAGAATGGGAGGAGATATTTTCAAATGACGTTATCCAATAAAGGGTTAGTATCCTAAATATAAAGAACTTGTACAACTCAATACCCAAACACCAAATAATCCAATTAAAATATGGGCAGAAAACATGAACAGACATTTCTCCACAGAAGATATACAGATGGCCAACAGACATGTGAAAAGATGCTCAACATCAGGGAAATGCAAATCAAAACCACCAGGTGATATCACCTCACACCTGTCAGAATGGCTAAAATCAAAAAACGTCAGACAAGTGTTGACAGGGATGTGGAGAAAAAGGAACCCTCTTGCACTGTTGGTGGGAATGCAAACTGGTACAGCCATTCTGAAAACAGTATGGAGGTTCCTCAAAATGTTAAAAATAGAACTACCCTATGATCCAGCAATTGCACTACTGGGTATTTACCCAAAGAATACAAAAACACAAATTCAAAGGGATACATGCACCTGCTATATATATATAGCAGCATTATTTACAACAGCCAAAATATGGAAGCAGCCTAAGTGTCCACTGATGATGAAGAAGATGTGGTGTATATATATATATATACAATGGAGTATTATTCAGCCATAAAATAAAATGAAATCACTATTTGCAACAACATGATGGAACTAAAGAGTATAATGCTAAGCAAACGAAGTCAGTCAGAGAAAAACATATGCCATATGATTTCACTCCTATGTGGAATTTAAGAAACAAAACAAATGAGCAAAGGAGAAAAAAAGAGAGACATAAACCAAGAAACAGACTCTTAACCATAGAGAACAAACTAATGGTTATCAGAGGGGAGGTTGGTAGGGGGATGGCTTAAATAGATGATAGGGCTTAAGGAGTGCACTAGTTGTGAAGAGCTCCGGGTGATGCAAAGAATTAGCGAATCTCTATATTGCACACCTGAAACTAATATAACACTGTAGGTTAACTAACTGGAATTAAAATAGAAACTTAAAAAAAAATTCATAAAGCCAACTAAGGAAGACTACTTTAGTGCTATATTAAGTACTCATTCTCCAATAAAACACTGCATTTCATAAGCACTGTAAGGCCCTGCTTGCCTAGGAACTGAGCAATTTGACAATCAGACAATCAAAGGAAGATCAGCCACATAGCAATGAAGAATATTTCCATTAGCCCAGGAAGACATTTTGATAAATCCATTTAATCATGTGACTGGAAAGCAATAGATTATAACCAGTAATGTCTCCTATCTGCTCATAATTATGTGGATTACATACTGGGTAACAGTGATTACACTCTTGTTAACTAAACTACAAAAATAATGCCCTAACTAGATACAGAACCATACATATAACTCCTTGTTTAACTTAATCTCATCTAGTGTTGATAACAACTACTATAAACACAAGGACTACAGTACTGTTTGGCTGTGTGTAATGATGTGCAAATTCAACCTCCCATTAATATGTGACCTTAACAGAAAATAAACAGTGACCGAAGAAATGTTTAAATTCTTAACCTAAAATGAACTATTAACAGACTATCAAATACAATTACATTAGATTTAACTTTTTTCAGTTCAGTGATTTCTACTTTGGTACAAGCCATGTTTAATTTTTTTGCTACTATCTACCTGTAATGGCATAATTTATAATAAGAAATATACATTTGGTCTTCTCTCCCCCTTCCCCCCACCCAAGAGCTCCTAAAACCCTTGGAATTTTCTAAATGATGAGAGTGATACAGGTGGAAGGAGCAAGGGATCTTTTGTTATTCATAACAAGCCCCTTTCAGCCACACAAGAGTTTGTTCACGAGTTAATGACTTTGAGAAAAAATCCTCAGGATGAGGACTGGTTGCAAGGGAAAGCAAGCAAGTGATTAGAGGGTTGGAACTTTCAGCTACCTGCATTCTCCCTGCCTCCACATTTGTAGGGAGGGCAGAGGGGCTGGAGGTTGAGTTAATTATTAATAGCCAATAATTTAGTCAATAGTGCCTATGTAATAAAGCCTCTATAAAAAACCCTAGCTGATGGGTTTTAAAGAGCTTTCAAGTTGGTGAACAAGAATGCATCTATGTGCTGTAAGAGTGACACACCCCCAACTTTAAGCTCCTGTGCTCAAGACATTTCCAGATCTTGTCCTATTTATCTCGTTCATCTGGCTGTTCATCTATATTCTTTAAAATATGTCTTATAATAAATTGGTAATAGTAAGTAGAGCACTTTTCTGAGTTCTGTGTGTCATTCTAGCAAATTATCAAACCCAGGAAGGGGGTTGTGGGAACCTCCAATGTATACCCAGTTGTTCAGAAGCACAGGAGACAACCTAGACTTGAAGTAGTATCCGATGTGGGAGCAGTCTTATGAAACTGAGCCCTGAACCTATAGGATTAGATGCTATCTCCAGGTAGATAGTTCCAGAATTTATTTAAATTATAGAACATCAAGCTGGTATTGAAGAATTGCCACATATTTGGTAGCCAGAAGTGTTCTGTAAGTAGTACAGTAGAGAAAAACAGTAATTTTTTCCTTCTACTATATAATAATAAAAATATTTGATACGTGGTAGGCAAAGTTTGATAATATCCCAAGTTTAGGTACACAGGTCTACACAAAATCACCAAGTAGTATTTAAAAAGAAGTAAATGTGTATAAAAACTGTGAAAACCTAAAAACAACTTAAACATAGTTCTGGAATGATACTGTACTCACAAAATTATTACTCTATCACTAACATCATGTACCACCTAGCAATAATAATGCCATAATTTAATATTAAAATCATTTAATCATTCTATAAATGTCCCGAGTTTCACTGTGAATAATGAAAAAAGAACGAGATACTTTATTCCAAAAAGAGATAAAATCTTAATAAAAATGTTGTATCAATGCTTTTCAAGCTGTATTCTGCAGTGCCTGATGAATTTTCCTCAAAGGTATGCCTTCTTTAGCCATGGGAGAAGCTAGAGTTCCATTTACTCAATCTCTTCCATCCAACACTAGTCCTTCCCCTTCAAACAGAACAGTATCATTTTTGACTATTTTTCCCATAATGGAGTTTTGCTAAAGATTTTCTTTGGAAAAAAAATTCCACCACTAAAATCAAACTACCCAAAACAAATAGTTTGAAATTTTATGTAGTTAATAGTTGTTGGTAAGTTAAAGCTTCAGCAAGATTTTTATTTTATTTCATTTTGATATTTATATACAGCTTAAAGCAACTTAACAATCAAGCTTTTCATTTCAGATTCTCAGGAAAAGTAAACACCTTACCCAGCATGACTAGATGATGAAGGTGGCGGCAAGTCTGGTGTAAGGACATAAAGACTGTTGTTTTTTGGCAAATGTAGCGATTTTAAGACCGTCTGAAAAAGAAAAATTAAAAACAAACAAAAAAAATGACTGTTGATTGTATATTGTTCATTTTTTCCCTAAAGTTCTTAAAATTTTTTCAATATTGTAATTTTTTGAAACTTTTGACAATTTCCTAAACAGAATAATGCAGAACTATTGAAACCAAGTAACTTGTTTCTCCTATATATATATATATATATAAGCATAAATATGAACATTAAAAATAAAATACAAAATCTTTAGCTCATGATGAGATACAATAGATAAGAACACAGTTAAGAGTCATTAATTTCTTCACTGAAGAAGTATATCCTTGAAACTAATATGCACTTCGTTCCAGGATCATTATAGCAAAAATTAGCAATGTAGGTTTTTAGAGATCATAAGACTTAGAAAAGATCATAGTGAGCAACTCAACCCAATGGCTTTATAGATGAGGAGCTGCAGCCTGAGAAATAAGGTAACTTGGATGAGATCTCTAGTAAATGTTACCTAGGTCACTTAACTCTTTCTCCAGAGAATTTTTATGTTAAAATGATCCATCCAGGGTGAATAAACTACTCTTGGGATACATCTGAACTACATCTTGAAAACCATACAAAAGTTCACTAAATTTTTTTGGCCATAAAATTACTACATACCTTTCAAATTCCTAACTTGATGGTAAATACTAACATAGCTCAAACCTTTTTTTTTTTTTTAAGTAGGCTCCACACTGGGCATGGAGCCCAATGTGGGGCCCAAACTCAGAACCCTGAGATCAAGACCCGAGCTGAGATCAAGAATCAAACAGTTAACTGACTCTGCCTCCTAGGCACCCCTCAAACTTTTTTTGACAGCAAAATGCATTAAGAAACACATTTTATATCTTTACATCGTAACTCAGGACATACATATTTATTCGACAGATATTTATTGAGCCACCTACTCTGTGCCAGGACTATTCCAAACACTGAGGATATAGCGGTGAACAGCACAGTCTAAATCCCCTGATCTCTCTTATAGAGCTTTACATTTTAGTAGGAATAAATAAAGTAAGTAACCTATGTAGCTGAATATTAAAAAGTGATAATTTTTTGGACTAAAGATAGATCAGGGAAGGGGGGGTGAAGCATATGGGGGTGGGAAGTTATGTAATTTTAAACTGGATGATCAGGGTGGAGCTTACTTGGAGAATGTGACATTTGAGCAAAGATGTAAAGGGGTGACAAAACAATTCATGAGAAAATACAGAAAAAGAATATGTCAGGCAAAGAAAACAGCACAAAATGCTTAAGGAACAACAAGAAGTCCAATGTAACTGAAGTCAAATGAACATTAGTAGAGATAGGTCAGAGAGAGAACAGTCACAGTAGGGACAAGAAATGTACTGAGCTATGGGCTTTGACTTTTACTCCTAATGAAAAGGTAAACTACTGGAGTGACATGATCAGATTCACATTTAAAAAGATTCACTTTGTCAGCTATGTTGAAAACAGATGGGAAGGGGTTGGCAGAGGAGGGTAGAAGCACACAGAAGGCTAATGGAATATACTAAGATAAGGGTGATAATGGTTTATGTCAGTGTGATGGTAGTAGAAGTGATGCAAAATAGCTAGATTCTGGATATATTTTGAAGATAGTGCCAAAAAATTTCTTGACACATTGAATATGTGTTATGACAGAAAAGGAGTCAGTAATGATCCTAAAGATTTTAGACTGAATAACTAGAAGGATGAAGTTACTATCAATTGAAATGGGAAAGAATGAAGATGAGGACTTCTATTTTGGGCAGGTAAGTTTGAAATGTGTATTAGGCATTTAAGTGGAAAAGATAAGCAGATGGATATATTAATCTGGAATTCAGGGAACGGGTCTGGGGTGGAGATATAAATTAAACATATAAAACTATGCATATAGATGCACTTAAAAATCATTACACTGGATAAGATCACCACTGAATTTAGTTATGTGGTCACTTCACTGGTACTTTGATAAGAGCACTAGCAATTCTCTGCCTAGACTGGGCTCAGGAGGCATGGGGAGAAATAGAGACAAGAAATATAAACAAGTCTTTGGGGAAAGTTTTGTTATCAAGGGGACTAGAGGAATGGAGCGACTGCTGGAAGGGGAAGTGGGATCAAGAGAAAAATGGAAGAAAGAACATCATGTTTGTGGTTATACTCTATTATGACCTACTAGAGGAAAATATTGATGATACAGGAAACACACGGAAGAATTAAGAGTGAAGTCCTTGAATAGGCCAGAGGACACAAAGAATGTAATCCAAAGCAAATATGGAGGTGTGGTCTTTGAAAGGAGAATGGACAGGCCATCCAGAGTAACAAAAGAAGAGTATGTGTGTAAGATGCAGGTAAGTAAAGAGAGACCAAGCTTATAGAAATTTTCTTGTATTGCCTTTATTTTGTGAGTGAAACAAAACAGGAAGTCAAGTTATCAGCTGAAAGTGAGAATAAGGGAGAGGTGCTTTAAAGGTCTGAGGAGAGGATAAGTATAAAATAACCATTTAGGATGTGGATAAACCAGGTAAATATACTGTGACTGCCTAGCAACATTAAGGGACGCTCTAAACATCATGATCATGAATTTAAAGATACATTAATGATTTTATTTGTCTGTAGCCACATTTAACTGTAATGCACAGAATAGATGGAGTTGGATTTATTGAAAATAAGGACTTTTGTCATGCAGGATCCATAAAGAAAGAGTTGAGACTCTATGCAAGAAAGTGATTATAATGATTAATTGTGGGATTTAATCCACTCTAAGGAAGGAAGAGAGGACATGAAGGAGGTAATGATCACAAACAGATGGTAGAAACAATGGACTGGAGGCCTAAATAGTGTTGAAGGATTGCTGGAGTAAAGATACCAAAGAAAATGAGCTAGAAAGATAAGAGATAGTAAGCAGAAAATGGAAGCCTAAAATTAAGATTTGAAATTTATAATTAAATGATAGGACCACTGGAAGATATAGCTGATGCAGGATGGAGGAAAAGATTTCTGTAGGAAAGAAATTCAAGAAACTAAGGGGCCAAGGTATTGGAAGAACCACTTATAAAGATAGTTAAATTACTAAGAATTAAGGGGGGCAATTATAGACCAGGACCCAAAAATCAGGAAATGAAGGGAGATGACCTCAATAAATAGGTGATGACCTTTTAACATGAAATTCAAAGCTGAAGATTTTAAGAGAGGAAGGACTGATAAAGGTCTGGAAGTGGAAGTGAGGTACAATCAGGACACATATTTCACCAGATAATCCAGTGGTATGATGGCTGCTAAAGAAAAGCAATTAACACTGGGAAAGCTATAATCAGGGAAATCCAAATCAAAACCACATTGAGATACCACCTTACACCAGTTAGAATGGCAAAAATGGACAGGGAAAGAAACAACAAATGTTGGAGAGGTTGTGGAGAAAGGGGAACCCTCTTACACTGTTGGTGGGAATGCAACAACTTGTACCACAAAGTGGTACAGCCACTTTCGAAAACCTCCACTTTTGTGGAGGTTCCTCAAAAATTTAAAAATAGAGCTACCCTATGATCCAGCAATTGCACTACTGGGTATTTACCCCAAAGACACAGATGTAGTGAAAAGAAGGGCCATATGCACCTCAATGTTCATAGCAGCAATGTCCGCAATAGCCAAACTGTGGAAAGAGCCGAGATGCCCTTCAACAGATGAATGGATAAAGAAGATGTGGTCCATATATACAATGGAATATTACTCAGCCATCAGAAAGGATGAATACCCAACTTTTACATCAACATGGATGGGATTGGAGGAGATTATGCTAAGTGAAATAAGTCAAGCAGAGAAAGTCAATTATCATATGGTTTCACTTATTTGTGGAACATAAGGAATAACATGGAGGACATTAGGAGAAGGAAGGGAAAAATGGGGAGGGGGAATCGGAGGGAGAGATGAACCATGAGAGATTATGGACTCTGAGAAACAAACAGGGTTTTAGAGGGGAGGGGGGAGGGGGGATTGGTTAGCCCAGTGATGGGTATTAAGGAGGGCACGTACTGCATGGAGCACTGGGTGTTATACGAAAACAATGGATCGTGGATCACCACATCAAAAACCAATGATGTATTGTATGGTGACTAACATAACATAATAAAATTAAAAAAAAAAAAAATCCCAGAAAGCTACAGGACATTACCAATGAATTTGAAGTTGAAAGAAACTTCTCTAAACACTCAATTATAAAATTATTATCACATCAAAAGGTGATCAAAGAGTGTGCAACAAACCTAAAAGTGGGGGGGGAAAAAAAAGTATTACAGAGATGCATCAGGCAGTTATTGCAAATACTTTATTTTTCTGCCTTTTGTGATGTTTGAGGTATATTTTAGCTTTGTGAAATTTGTAATTCGTTGTGATTTATCTCCTTATTCTCATTAAATACTCACTTTTGTGTCTAAAAAAAAAAAAAACACTGGGAAGGCTATAGAGAACAATGTCCTTAGGAAGGCAGGTTTCAGTCAGAGGAAGATGGTGAAAGGAATGTGCAGGGAAGAGGTTGACAACAGAGGGAACCTGGCTAGTGATAAAATTAGTTCCACAGGGAATAGCAAACAGGTTTCAGGTATTGTAAACGAAAAAGGATAGAGACAGATATGGCCTATGCAGAAACTACGGAAATTTGAGTGAGGGGTGATAAACAGTGGGAAAAGAAGTAATAAAATTAGTCCTGGTTTAATCAAACAATAATATTAAGGCTGCAAGTGTTGGAAAGCAAGTGGAGTGAATGTCTAGGAATCTCTCTTAACCCTGCAGATGGAAGTAGAGACAGGAGGCTGATCTTACCCAAACATAAAACATGAGGAACTCATTCTTGATCCCTCCACAAGAAGGTTCATCTTACTAAGTACACAGTCTTACTCCATGGACATTGGGACTTCGTTTGACTAATATTAGCTATATGTTAAGTAAAAATACCCTTACTACTTGCAATGTACTCTGACATCTTCTATTCTATTTCTTTTTTTTTTTTTTAAGATTTTATTTATTTATTTGAGACAGAGAGAATGAGAGAGACAGAGAGCACATGAGGGGGGAGGGTCAGAAGGAGAAGCAGGCTCCCTGCTGAGCAGGGAGCCCAATGCAGGACTCGATCCAGGGACTCCAGGATCATGACCTGAGCCAAAGGCAGTCGCTTAACCAACTGAGCCACCCAGGCGCCCTCTATTTCTTTTTTTTTTTTTTTTAAGATTTTTATTTATTTATTTATTTGACAGAGAGAGACACAGCGAGAGAGGGAACACAAGCAGGGGGAGTGGGAGAGGGAGAAGCAGGCTCCCCGCAGAGCAGGGAGCCCGATGCGGGACTCGATCCCAGGACCCTGGGATCATGACCTGAACTGAAGGCAGTCACTTAACCAACTGAGCCACCCAGGCGCCCATCTCTATTTCTTTTTTTTAATGCTGACTATAACCCACTCAATTCACTTCACAACCCATTAATGTATTTGTAACCCATGATCTGCAAAAACACTGCAGTAGGCAATTACTCATAATTTCACCTTTAAGTTCCGAATCTTTATATCAAATATTTGTAAGTCCTTTTGGAAGTGATCTGTGTTACCTCTCTAGAGTTAACATGCAAACAAAACACACGCATATGTACATAGGAAAATTATTTTTTACCTTTCTATCTTTCATTATTTTAACTGTTGGATTACTGATAAATGTTTACTCTTACTACTTGATCAAGTCACTACTGTCCTTTTGCTACACCACCATCCAAAGATTTTCCACTAAATCTTCCCCCTTAAATCACATACGGAATGATTATATAAATGGATACTTCCTTTAAGTCATTCATTCATCCATTCCACAAACATTTACTCATGGGACTATGATAGAAATTGCTGGGATGGGAACCTAATTTTATAGAGGCCTGTTAGAGAAAGTAATGTTTAAACTGAGACCTGAAGGATAAAATAGAGCCACACCCATGTGAAGAACTGGGGGCAAAGCATTCCAAGCAGTGGAAGGTGCAGGTAAAGATATAAAGTGCTTGGTTCTATTAGAAGAATTAAAAGGGGGTTTCTATGGCTGCATCATGGAAAGTGAGAGTAAGAAAGGCTGAAGATGAGGTTGCAGAGGTGAATAGTGCATAAAAATACAATGCCTTTTAAACCATGGTGAGTAGTTTGAATTTTATTCAAAGTGCAGTAAAAAACTGTTTTAACAGGAGAGTGATATAATTCAATTTATGTTCTTAAAAGATCATTCTGGCTGCTGTGTGGAGAATGTAAGGAAGAACCCAGGAAAGGAAGCTGGAAAAACAATGATGAAGCTATTACATTGGTCCAGGCAAAAGATGCTAATGGCCTAGATTAGGCAGCATGATAAAAATGCTGAAAAGTGACCATAGTTGACATATATTTTGGAGACAGAAGCTATAGGACTTACCAAAGGATTAGGTGTTGTTTGAAATGGGAAAAGACTGGATGCCCGTATTTTTGGACTCAGCAGTGGCTATACAGTGCTGCTGTTTACTGGGGGGAAACTAGTAGAGAAATGGTATGGAAAGGAAAACCAAGAGCTCCATTTTAAACATGCTAACCTTAAGATGTCATAAGGTATGCAAGTACCAAAGTGAATTACCAGTTTGGATACATGAATTCACAGAAGTATAACCTGGAAATATAAATTTGGGAGCAATCAGAAAATTAATGGCATAGGAATAGCAGAAATCACCTTAGGAAAAGAGTACATAGAAATAAGTAACTGAAAATATTGTTGGTGACAAAAGACTATGTTCAAATATTAGGACAGACAGCTTTAAGAAAATTTTCAAAATAATTGCCTTTCTCTTTACAAACTACTGAAAATGCCATGTGCAAATGATTCATATCCATAGATTTCTCAATAAATGAACAAATAAATGATACAGCCATATAAACTAATGCATTTTAGTGTTTTATTTCTGCTGAGGTTGTTGATTTACTCAGATAGCATTTCTTTTTATTTTTTAACCTATGTTTCAATTACAACAGCCATGTAGCACAAGGGGTCAGCAAATTATGCCTATGGGACAAATCTATCCCACTGCCTATTTTTATATGGCCTACGATGTTAAGGATGATTTTTACATCTTTTAAATGGTGGGGGAAAAAAATCAAAAGAAGAGTATCTCATGATATGTGAAATTACATAAAATTCAAATTTCTGTGTCCACAAATAAAGATGTATTGGAAAACAGTCATGGCTCACTCTTTCACATATGGTCTACGGTTCCTTTCACACTACAACAGCAGAACTGAGTAGCTACAATGAGACTGTACTGCCCACAAAGGCTAAAATATTTATAACCTGGTTCTGTATAGAAAGTCTGCTGAGCCCTAAAATAGTACATCACTAACTTCTACCTAAATTTATAAATATCTTGCTAATGTGAAATTCACATAAATATCTTATTGAAATACTCCAAACAGGGTGCCTGGGTGGCTCAGTCGTTAAGCGTCTGCCTTCGGCTCAGGTCATGATCCCAGAGTCCTGGGATCGAGTCCCACATCGGGCTCCCTGCTCGGCAGGAAGCCTGCTTCTCGCTCTCCCACTCCCCCTGCTTGTGTTCCTGCTCTCGCTATCTCTCTCTCTGTCAAATAAATAAATAAAATCTTTAAAAAAAAAAAAAGAAAGAAATACTCCAAACATCTCCATATACCAAATGAACTCACATATATTTATAAGTACAATGTCTACCAGAAGTCACTGAAAAAGAACTGAACCAAAAGTTGAAGGTTCTAAGTTTATGCCTAGATATTGAAATATCAAGTTAGTAACTATGAAAAGATTTGATAATTATTTGCACTTCAAACATCTAAAACTTTAGCGTTAATTCATTTCTTTCCTTCCCTCCCCACTTTCTCTGTCAGACAAAGAAACAGAATGTGAAATATTTAATACCTGAGGCTGCTACTGGGTCCTTGAGAACAGCAACTACTGCCTTAAAATTGCAACACTTTATAAAAATTCTTAAAGTACAATTCATTCCATGTACTTGCCACTACCCAAGTAAACAAAGATTCTTACCATTAAATTTTCCAAGTTTAAAAAAATGTCTTATTATTATCTTTGTTCCATTATCAATATTGACATACATGTATACATTGTATATGACTTCTTTCAGGCCAGTAAGTAATTGTTCAGTAAATTATTATTCCAGGGCACTTACTGACACCCTATGAGGTTTGATAAAAAAGTAAAAGCTCTCAAAAAAGAGTACCAAACTAACTCCTATATTAACAGTTAGAAATAGGAAAAACATGCCATATAGTGTTCTCATTTACATACCTAACTCATTCAAAACTATTGTTGGTTTACCATGAAAATGTTTTAACTTGAAAAACACTGTTGGCTGATTCCTTAAACTAAGTTACTATTACCAAAATCTACTTCTGTCATATGTAACAAAACTAATAAAAACCAATTTTTATGTATCATTTAGTCAATTGCATGACTTAACTTTCTTTTATTTCTAGGCAATTAAGAAACTCACACTGTCTTCCACATCTCCGGTCTTCCAGCCTTTCAACAGCATTTTAGACACAGGTATCTGAAGTTCATTTTCTAGAATCTGTTTAATCTCTCCTGTATAAATAAGAAAAGACTGAATATTACTAACAAAATAATGCAATCAACATTTGTCCATATCCAGGGCTACCACAAATATTAGGAATATGGTACACAGTCAATGACATTTGTCTGATGAATAAATAAGAAAATTTCCATATTCCAAACTTCAAATCTTTTTTTTTTTTAAGATTTTTTTTTTTTTAATTTATTTGAGAGAGAGAATGAGAGAGAGAGAGCATGAGGGGGGGAGGGTCAGAGGGAGAAGCAGACTCCCTGCCGAGCAGGAAGCCCGATGCGGGACTCGATCCTGGGACTCCAAGATCATGACCTGAGCCGAAGGCAGTTGCTTAACCAACTGAGCCACTCAGGCGCCCCCCAAACTTCAAATCTTAAACAAATGTTGCCCCTTTGAAGAACTCAGGCTTCAACATTAATTATGACAAAAGACTCTACAATTAATTAACTAGTTAATTAATTACATAGCTTTTTAAAAGAAATAGATACCAGTGATTGGGGCTTTGATTAGAAACAACGTATTTTAAACCAATCAACTGACAATACCACTATGTGCTCAGCATGTGGTAGGAATAGCAGGTAAAGTATAAAACTTGAAGTGGTATAGTATAAGCAAAGCAGATTTTAGAATGAAGATTTGGGTCTTGAAGAAATTGAATATCTATTCTTAGTTTTTGTATCATAAAATGGAGAATAATATTGCCTTTCTTAACTATTTCCAGGGTCTAAGGATAAAAGGAAATAACATCCATGAAAGCAGCTGAAAAATAAAGCCAATGTATATAATCTAGAAGACAATTTAAATTATGTTAAAGAGAAAAGCAACAGAATTTCGAAAAGAAAAAAAAATGTATTGGATAAGTAGAGAAGGCTTTATGTGAGAGATGAGACTTAAACCCAGATTGAAGGATAGCTGGGTTGTGAAGGAGTGCCACACCAAAAGTTATTCTATTCAGTGAAGACAAAAGACTTAAAGGTAAAAAGGCAAAAATGAACATGATGCTAATGAAAAACAGGAATCAAAATTTTCCCAGTGTTCCACAAATTATTTTTCAGGAATCAAGTCTACTTATAAATCAATCAGCTAATTTCTAGAACTACAGTATATTAAGCAGATTGTTGAATCAGAATATAAAAGTATTGCATATATCTACTTCTATTAGGTTGCTGCTAATCCAGCCTTTTTAAAAAAAACTTTATTTTTAAAAGTATACTTTTTCATACTTTATTTTTAGAGAGAGAGAGAGAGAGTGCATGAGCAGGGAAAGGGGTAAAGGGAGAGGGAGAGAATCTTTTTTTTTTTCACCACCATAACAAATTTATTATTCCAGGTGCTCACGGTGACACCGCACAGTTTCCTGCCTTCTAGCTTCTGTCCAAAGAGAAAGGTCTACCTGCTTGTTCCTTCCCCCTTTCTGAGGGGAAAATCCACTACGGACCATTTACCCAAATAAACCTCTTAATGCGTTGTTTTGTTTTGTTTTTTCTTGGACATTTGAGTTTCTGAAATGGAAAAAAGTGTTCAGTGTCCCATGCCGCCTCCCCCACCCCCACCGGCCAAATAAGTCCCTGCTGCCAGGGCATTTCTGTTGCCTCTGAAATCTTGAAATAAATATCGAAAGAAATGGCATCAAGTGTTCACATTGAGTGATGGCACTGAGTGGGCCCCAGAACCTGTCAGGTAGAGCGTCCCCGTGGACAATCTCAAGGTGTTATGGAGAGTGCGAGGGCTTGTTGCTATGGTCGATCGTCAGCCGGATACAGTGCTGAGTCCCATCCGGGGTAGTGGAGGCAGGGGAGGGCTGCCTACAATTTGTCCAGGGCCGGGATGCCTTCCTTCAGGCCTTTGCGCTTGCATCTTTCGGCCACCACCTGGCTGGGGCAGCTGGTGTTGTCGAAGGGATCCCCCAGCAGGATCTGCCAGTGGTCAAAAACGCACTGGGGGAAGGCCTGGCCGCCAGTATTGAACCTCAGGTCAGCAGTGAAGCCAAAGGACTCATTCACGGGCAGACAGGCCTTCACGACAAACATGTGGGTGCCAGCCACCTGGGACTCCTCAAACACCTGACCCCGCTTCCTGTTCAGGACACCGTAGATGCCACCAACCACTTGTTCCGGACACTGAATCTCCACAAGGTAGATGGGCTCCATAAGCTGGAGCTAGGCAGTCAGCACACTAGCGTAGAGGCAGCGCCAGGCAGTGGGGATGATCTGTGCCCCCCGCGCTGGATGGCATCCACATGCAGGGTCACGTCGTGGACATCAAAGCACACACCACGCATATTCTCTTCACACAGAGCCCTCTCTTTGGTGGCCCACTGGAAGCCAGCTACCATGCTATCCTGATCTCATTGAGGTACTGCACACCCTTGGTGATGTCTGTGAGGACATTGGGGCCAGTGCCGTCGGGCCAAAGCACCAGATCTTGCAGGCCTCAGCCACATCCCACTCATACTTCTCGGCCAGATAGTGGGCCTGCTGCTTGAGCTCCTGCCAGGCGGACACCTCGCCCTTGTCAATGTCCTCAGCCAGGCCATCAGGGAAGGGCCGTGCCTTCATGTACAGCCGGTTGTGCTTGTTGGGGAACTTGGGACAGGCAGAGCACATTCGACTCCTCACTGACAGTCTCACGATAGGAGACTACGTGGTCAGATTTCTTGATGGGAATGCAGGCATGGTCCTCCTCCAGGTCCTTCAGACAGGTCTCCAGGTGCAGCTCCCCAGCCCCTGCAATGATGTGCTCTCCAGACTCCTCAGTGATGCACTGCACCATAGGGTCCGACTTGGCCAGCCATCTCAGACCCTCCACTAGCTTGGGAAGGTCAGCCGGATTCTTGGCCTCCACAGCGACCCAGACAACAGGGCTCATGCTGAACTTCATCACCCGCATGTTGTGGACATGCTCAAAGGTAGTGATGGTGCCAGTCTTCACCAGGAACTGGTCCACACCCACCAGACCCACAATGTTCCCACAAGGCACATCTTCAATGGGCTCCACCTAATGGCCCATCATCAGGATTGTCCTCTGGATGGGTTTCAGGTACAGGTCCTCCTTCTTCCCAGGGGTGTAGTTGGGTCTCATGATCCTGATCTTCAAGCCAGTGGACACCAGCCCAGAGAACACACGACCGAAGGTGTAGAACCGACCTCTGTGGGAGGGAGAGAATCTTAAGCAGCCTTCATATCCAGCATGGAGCCTGATGCAGGCTCAATCTCACAACCCTGAGATCATGACCCAAGCCAAAATCAAAAGTAGGACACTTAACTTACTGAGCCACCCAGGTGCCCCCAGTCTATACTTTTAGATTAACATATAATTCAACCCCATTTATAATAAGTGATTAAATACTGAAAAAAACTGATTGTTATATATTAAAAGAGGAAAAATAATTCCAGGCTACACAAGTACTATGGAAATACAGTTGCCAAAGTAAGCAGTGCTACAATCAAACACTTCATGGCCTTAGTGACAAAGTTTTACTTCCCCAAAGAAAATTCCTGTCTGGGCACTTTTGATAGTGATTAAACATCATAATATATTTTACAAGCACAAACTTTTATCAACTTTGGACTTCAAAAAAATGTCACTGCTGACAAAGAATTATTCTTTTATGGAAATGGTAGAAAAAATAAGCCATACTTTTTATATCAAATATATATAAACATTGCCTTTTCATTTATGGCTAAGGTTGGTATTTCTAGAGCTGTACTTGTCTGGAATTGAGCTTATGCTCTTGCAAGTCTGCCCAGTGCTTTCCTCTTAGAAACCAATCTTCACCTGACACTTCTATAGACTCCTGGAGATACTCTTAGCATTCACAACCTGAAAGAAGTTTCTTAAAGAAAAAACAAAAAGAGATCTTAAGTTGAAGTTGCAGTTACTCTTGGCAACAAGCTTGGGTAACATACAAAAAGTCTAATTCCACAGGTAGAGAAGAATAGAAAATGAAACCAGAATCTTGATAGCAACCCGATTTCCTCATATTTTAAAAACTTATTCTGTTGGTCTCAATTTCTTCTTCTGTAAAGTGGGGATAATTATAGTACCAACACTTCATTGGGTTGCTGCATTAAATCACATAAGACATGGAAATATTTTATATTAGATGTGTCTCAAAAAATGTTGGTTATTTTGATTTGTATTAACTAAGGTAATACACACATAAATGTCTAGCATAGTACCTGGCCAGTATAGATTCTAAATAAACAGTAGTTATTGTTTTAGGAATATCCAAAATAATATAGGTCAGTGAAGTACTAGAATGCAGCAAGTTTCAGAGCCAGTATTCATATCTGGGTCTGCCTGACACCAAAGATCTTAACACAAGATGGCACTGCCACTACAGCATCCTAATATGTTACTTGGAAAAATGAAGCTATGCAGATGTCATTAAGAGCAGTCCACTGAATTTGCAAACCATATATCTGATAAGGAGTTAATATCCAAAATACATAAAGAACTCACAACACAATAGTAAAACACACACACACACACACACAATCCAATTAAAAATGGGTAAGCATGGGGCGCCTGGGTGGCTCAGTCAATTAAGCGTCTGCCTTTGGCTCAGGTCATGATCTCAGGGTCCTGGGATTGAGCCCTGCATTGGGCTCTGCACTCAGTGGGGAGTCTGCTTAAGGATTCTCTCCCTCTTCTCTGTCCCTCCCCCTTGTTCTTACTCTCTAAAATAAACAAAATAAATCTTTAAAAACAAATGGGCAAAGGACCGAACAGATATCTTTCCAAAAAAGATATACAAATGGCCAAGAGGTAAATGAAAAGGTGCTCAGCATCACTAATTATTAGGGAAATGCAAGTCAAAACCACAATGAGATATCACCTCATGCCTATTAGAATGGCTACTATCAAAAAGACGAGCGATAATAAATGCTGGCAAAGATGTGGAGAACAAGGAACCCTTGTACACCGCTGGTGGAATTGTAAATTAGCACAACCACTAGGGAAAACAGCATGGAGGGTCCTCAAAAAATTAAAAACA